TGAGTTCAAGAAGAAGCTCGATGTATAGGTGCCACACGAATTGACGCAAGAGAACCTTTTGGACCGAATTGATGCCTGCGATTCTTTGCTGAAACGTAACGAAATCGACCCATTTTTGAAGCGAATGGTGACAGGTGATGAAAAATGGGTCACATACGAGAACAACAGTCGAAAAAGATCGTGGTCCAATCGCGGTGAGCCGGCCCAAACGATCGCCAAGCCCGGATTAACGGCCAAGAAGGTTTTGCTGTGTGTTTGGTGGGATTGGAAAGGAATCATCCACTATGAGCTGCTCCCATCGGGCCAAACACTTAATTCGGACCTCTACTGTCAACAACTGACCAGGTTGAAGCAGGCGATCGGCCAGAATTGGCCAATAGGAAAAATGTTGTGTTCCATCAAGACGCCAGGCCGCACACATCATTAACGACGCGCCAGAAGCTCCGAGAGCTTGGATGGGAGGTTCTATTGCACCCGCCGTATAGTCCAAACTTGGCACCAAGCGATTATCACCTTTTCAAGCATTTGCAAAATTTTCTTGATGGTACAAAACTGGCCTCAAGAGAGGCTTGTGAAAATGAGCTGGTCAAGTTTTTTACCAATAGGGACGAGGACTTCTTCAATCGCGGAATTATGAAATTGCCTTCAAAATGGACAAAAGTTATCGAGCAAAACGGCGCATATTTGATCGAAATCGGATAATCCTAACTATGTTAATTTCATCGTCGAAATAAAGCGAAAAAACGCTCAGAACTTTTTACTTCACCTAATATTTGTAATAATTATTATAGACTTATTTTATTTAATGCACATCTGTATTTATAATACATAATATACTGTTGTAATCTTTTCTTTGTATATTTTATGTAAAATTCTTTATCATATAATTTCAATTTAAAAAAAATATGCAACCATACAAAGTAAAATTCACTAACCCCACAAAAACGTACGTCGAATCCATATAGAGTTCACGTGGAACCCACGAAAACACGTGGAATCGGGAGCGGTGCACTTGGACACGGTGCATTTGGACACAGCTAATCACAGCACCGTGTGATTAGAGACATTTGTAGGATCCCTTGGAACAGCGACTTGTGATTGGACTGTGTCCAATTGCCCCGTGTCCAACTGATATACACCCCGTGGAATCCACGAAATCATGTGGATTCCACGTGGGTGTAACGTGCATGTTTTTGTGGGGTAAAGCAGTTGTCCACATTGTTTTGAATTGTGGAATACGCATGCGTAATATTACAATTTACATATTTGCGCATGATGATAGTATTATACTATTTTTCACGTTTTAGCCATTAACCGTATAGGCTAAAACATGAAAAGTAAGTGTGGTTATTTGTAGTATTTATATGGTAAAATAAAAATAATCTAGTGATTTCTTTGTTGGATGTTAAGCCATGGATGCTTCCGAAATAGAATTGGGTCGAGTTGAGTTAATTTTACTATAATATATGTATCAACTCAACCCAGCGCATTTGCATAGAGCATAATTACATTAAAGTAAGAAAATAATAGATTTTAAATATTGTCATGTTTGCTTATAATGTTTCTTCATGTTATATATTATTTTTTTAGAATGAATGTAACACACAAACAAGAAATAATAAAATAATAAAATTAATTACAATATAATAATAATTATTATTACCTATATAATTCCTGAAATTGTTTTTCTGGGATATCAAAAGGATCTTGAGTATCTCTTAAAATTTTACGCATAATACGTAAATTCTTGTTTCTTTCGTTTTGTTCCTCATTAACTATCCACCATGTAACAGCCATCGTAATTGATTAACTTATTATGAATATGGATATTACTTTCCACGGGAAATATCAATTCGCATGAAAGTTTTCACTTTTTTGCACTAAAATTTTCACTTTTTCGCTTTATGTGAAAATTTTCACTTTTTCACGAATTTATCCTAGGTAAAAAGATACATGATTGACCCCCAGGTTGAATAATCGCGCTCTTATGCTACTCAAAACAGGAATGTGATTGGTTCCGCTATTTTGCGTCAAAACTGCCAATGAAAATTCTGCCCCAATTGGCCAGACTCCTTGGAGTCGATTTTGGGTGCATTCGTTTTGGATGCTTACATACTTAAAGCGCTCACGCTTATGAGCGCTATTTTTGCCCGGTTACTTTGATTTCTAAGCGCACTCATTGAAAAGATCAAAACCGTTTCCTTTGGCTGTTGTAAGCAATTGTGAACGTAAAAATGGAGGATAAAGATAAGGAAATTGTTTGTATTTGCTCAAATATTAGTTTTATTGATTTTATAGATATTAGAATATTAGTTTTATAGATGTTTTTGATGATAACGAAACAAATAACTTATATAAAGAAGAATTAGAAAAGTATTTATCCGTAATGATTGAATCAATAAAAAAAAAAAACAATACCTTGGTTAAAAAACTATGTGGAAGTAATTGTACCATAATACAATGATGAAGTATTTAAGTCACATTTTAATAATTTTTCACTTTATAACTTTTGTTTTATTTAAGATCAACGATTTTAACTTTATAATATTCATGTTTTATACAACAAAATATGAAGATTTAGGTAAATTTGTGAGAAAGTCCGTTTCCTTCATCAAATGTATTACTAGTGTTGCTGAAATATTACTTATTTTTTTTTAAATTACTGTTGGACAGTGCTTTATTATTTAAAATAAATATGATTTAATAACAAAAATAATAAATTTTTATGAGAGGTGTCCTAAACTTACCTGTTTCTACACGTTTTGCCTCATTTGATGTAACAACAAGTGTATACATTTTATTATTTGTAACATCTTGCAGAGTTACTCTGGTTTTGTTACTCTCTTTGGAAGTCATTTTGAAACACTATTTCACTTTAAGGTTTATATTGGAGGTTAGATTGCGTCGATTTCATCGACACAATCTAACTTATCGTTCTCTTTGGAAAATAAGCGCTTATAAGTGCTTACGCTTTTACTGCCCTACCTCGATAGAAGAAGTGAATGTAAGCGCGAGTTATGACGTCACGCATGACGTCAATATGCAGTTTCTAAGCGCTTATAGCGCCAAAGTAAACGACGTGAGCGATATTTATAAGCGCTTAAAGCGCGTAAGCGTTCAAAGCGAACGCACCCTCTGTATCTCGAAACGAAGTGAAAATTATAAAAGTGAGCAAATATACTAGAATATTCGTAATTTCATTGGTCAGTGCCTAGTGAATGTGCTCACTTTTGTAATTTTCACTTCGTTTCGAGATACAGAATTGACTCTCTTATGACTGCGTAGGAAACGTCACTCGAGTACTCTTCCTCTCTTTTTATCTCACTCTTGTATCTCGCTCACTCCAATGTAACGGGTACACTTGGATGACATTTCCGAACGCCTATAGTGACTCTATGACAGACGCGTAGAATCGCCGCTAGTGGTCCATGGTTATATGGTCAAAGGTATAGACATCTGTATACGCATATCATATTGTCAATGGAATTTTGAAAAACTCCTCAAAACTCCTTCGAAATACGATTAATTATGAGTACAATCAAACGCAATGATTTTTCAAACAGTTCTGAACTTCTGGTGCGATAATAAATAATTATTGTAATCTAAAACAAAATTGGTGAGAATTATTTTCTAAAAATTGACGTAACCTCATCTAACCAAACCTTGAACTTTAATCTGTTACATGCTTTATTTTATAATGATTTTTTTTCAGGTAATAAAACGGAAAAATGCATTTTGTCATTTGTAGTATCGTTTTTGCTTGTTGTATATTGATACCTGCAAGAACAATTTATTTAATATTTATCAAACGCAATAAGCCCAGAAAAAGATCTTGTCCTGCTAAGACAATGATAATATTAGGATCAGGTGGACACACAGCTGAAATGCTGCGTATTGTTAAGCATTTGGATGTTAAAAATTATTCGCCCAGAGTATATATTCATGCACAAACAGATAAGCTTAGTGCAGAAAAAATCAAAGATCTAGAATGTGATAATAAAGATTACAATGTTATACACATTTACAGAAGCAGAGAAGTGCGACAGTCATATTTTACATCAATTTGGACTACTGTACTTGCCACTTTAAATTCCCTTCCAATCTTGTGGAAAGAAAATCCTGAGCTTATTTTATGTAATGGTCCTGGTACTTGTGTTCCTTTGTGCATTATAGCATTTTTGTTCAAAGTACTATGTATTACACAGAGCATTGTTATATATGTAGAGAGTTTCTGCAGAGTTAAAACATTTTCACTAACTGGCAAGATCTTGTATTATTTAGCTGATTATGTTATTGTACAATGGGCATACTTGAGTAAACCTGTATACAACAGAAGTATTTTATTATAAGTAAAGATTTTTTAATTTCTCTTAAAGTAGTCTAATATTATTTGAGCACCTATGTCATTTTCAGAAAATGGCTTGCAGCACTTCTATAGTAATGGTTTCCTGGGAATTATTAGTGGAGGAATTGAAAAACATACCTATCGAAATAAGACTATACTTAGCGTCAATAATCGGTGCATTACGCACATCTGACAAACAGTTGTAAATATCAAAAATTTTCTGGCAAAATTTAGTTTATTTGATTAGATTAAGTGATAACACTTGATGGATCCTTATAGACTGTGCATATTCATCAGATCTTTTATTTCATATAAATATTCAATGTATTACATAAAATACATAAAAATTTCTTCTCACAAGAACATCAGAAACATGGATAAGCACTTCGATAACAAGAATAGAAGCTTGTTTAGATCGCACATGGGAAGCATTGAATTCTGGCTACTGGAAAGATGTCCCCATAGAATACAGATATTGTTATTCTTTGTGCATTGTCATAAAGGTATAAAAAATTATTTATACATTCCATATCTTTCATCATTCAAATGCATATACTGATTAACTTTATTTGAAATTGCACTCTATATTTAGGCAGCACTATTAGAACTTCAGTATGAACTTAATGCTGGGAATTTCACTGAGAAAGAAAAAAAGGCTACATTAAGGAATATTATTAGCCAAATTGACAAAGGTATTCTATTAGGTGCGCCTCTTTCCAGTATGCCAAATTTATTAACAACTACTGCTGCCAAATTGAACAGCTATTGTATCGGTAAAGATTTTTGCGTTACTAATACAATAATAAAATTATGTACAATAATTCAATAACAATATTATAAAAGCAGTCTACTTTCCACATTTCTATTAGATGAATCTGACGGCGCAAATTTAGAGGAAATTCCAATTAACAGTGATAAAATCAATGATGCAATTTTATCTGGATTTTTGGAAATAATACATTATAAGGAACCTTCAATGGAATTGTTTTACAAACAGGTTTTTATGCCAAAATATCCAGCCGTATTAACAGGTAAAAGAACGAATTATATAAAATCTCATATATATATATATATATATATATATATATATATATATATATATATATATATATAAAATTAATAAAATAATAAATAAAATAATAATAAAATAATAATAAAACTGATTCTATATATTGCATTTTATCACGATGCACAAAGTCATAAGAACAATATAAATATATGTGCATGTAACCATTTATATGCACATACTTTACATGTATTGTATGTAAATTCATTTACATAACAATTCAATAATACTTTACATGTGCCATCGAAAATTGTTTATAGAAAATGATTAAGTATTTATTTGATGCATCTCCTTAGGTTGCATGAGACATTGGAAAGCATTAACATTATGGAAGAATCCTGACTACCTACATAAAATTGCGGGATCTCGGACAATACCGATCGAAATCGGATCTCGTTATACTGAGGAGGATTGGACTCAGCATCTTGTTAGTTTTTCCGAATTTTTACGAAAGCATGTTATTACAAGTAATAGTCAAGTCGGTTATTTAGCGCAGCATCAACTTTTCGAACAGGTAATTATATAATTAGTATAACAAATTAGTCAAATCAATTTAAAGTATTTCTAACGTAATTCTCTAACATAATACTAGTCTACTAATGTAAAATCTTTCAAAATTTCTCTCAGATACCAGAACTAAAAGAAGATTTCGCAATACCAGAATATTGTAGTTTTTCAGACAATGTGGATAATGACGTAGAACCACCTGATATAAATGCATGGTTTGGCCCTAGTGGTACAGTGTCGCCCTTGCACTTTGATCCGAAAAATAACTTGCTTTCTCAGGTGCCAAACTATAATATATATATAAATTAATTATAATATATATTAATAATATATATATATGTATATATATATATATATATATATATATATATATATATATATATATATATATATATATA